CACCAAGAGAAAAGAAAATACATATTCATATAAAGAGCTGAACACAAATATTGATAATGCCAAATTGGACACAACCCAAAGATTCAACAACAGGTGAATAGATAAACAAATTGCAGTATATCCATACCATGGAAGGCTACCTAAAAATAAAAGGAGTGAACTATTCACACACACAACACGGACACATTTTTAAATATTTAAAAGTGAAAGAAGTCTGACACAAAAGAACAGATACCGTAGGATTCCTTTTGTATAAAATTTCTGCAAGTGCAAACTTATGGTGACAGAAAGCAGATGTGTGCTTGTCTGGGATGGTGCAGCAAAAGAAAACTTGGATAATGAATATCCTCATTATCCTGATTGTAATGATGGTTTCATGGGTGCAAACATATATCAAAACTTATCACATTGTATACTTTGTGGCCTGTTTCTTATACATTAATTAGCTTTTTTTTCATTAATATCTTTTTAAAAAATTTTTATTTATTTATTTGTGGCTGCACCGTGTCTTCATTGCTTTGCTCAGGTTTTCTCTAGTTGCAGCGAGCAGGGACTGCTCATTGCTGCAGTGCATGGGCTTCTCAATGCGGTGGCTTCTCTTGTTGAGGATCACAGACTCTAGGACGTGCAGGCTTCAGTTGTTGCAGCTACCGGGCTCGAGAGCACAGAGTCAATAGATGCGGCACACATGCTTCCTCTCTCCACGGCATGTGGAACCTTCCCAGACCAGGGATTGAACCTGTGCCCCTTGCATTGGCAAGCGGATTCTTTACCACTAGCACCACCTGGTAAGTCCTGTATCCTTTCAAATCAAAACCCTATGCATGTTTCAAGACTTCTCTCAAATATATCATCCATCCTCATGAAACCTTTCTTCAGTCATCAAAATAAACATGACCTCTGCTTCCTTTAGTTAGAGCCTCATTGTACCCAGGAAAGACTCGCTTGTAGTACTATTCATCTCACCACATTCTGACCCAGGAGATAGATGCAAAAATATCACATTGTTTGGGGAAGAGTTCCCTGGTGGCATAGTGGTTAGGGTTCTTGGCTTTCACTGCTGTGGCCCCAGTTCAACATCTGGTCAGGGAACTGAGATCCCACAAACTGTGTGACACAGATTTTTTAAAAAGCATTATATTGTTTGGAACTGACATAAGTAGGACTAATTCAGCTGGGAGGTGTGCCATTTTGCCCTCCCTCACCTCCCTCCTTCCTATTATTGTACTTGTAATAGAGATTTAATGGCTCAAGAATGGTGCTCAAGCTGCTGTCTGGACTATCGCAAAATAAGGCACCCCAAATAGAGATATAAGTCAAAAGAGTGTTCTTCTTTTGGAAAAAAATTTAAAATAGCCCTCTAGTCTATTCTCTCTAGCCCCTCTAGTCCCAAATCAGGAAAGGAGTACATCAAGGCTGTATATTGTCACCCTGATTACTTAACTTATATGCAGAGTACATCATGAAAAATGCTGGGCTGGATGAAGCACAAGCTGGAATCAAGACTCCTGGGAGAAATACCAATAACCTCAGATATTCAGATAATACCACCCTTATGGCAGAAAGCAAAGAGGAATTGAAGAGCCTCTTGATGAAAGTGAGAGAACAGTGAAAAGTTGGCTTAAAGCTCAATATTCAAAAACTAAAATCATGACATCCAGTCTTCATGGCAAATAGATGGGGAAACAGTGACAGACTTTATTTTCTTGGGCTCCAAAATCACTGCAGATGGTGATGACAGCCATGAAATTAAAAGACGCTTGCTCCTTGGAAGAATAGTTATGACCAAACTAGACAGCATATTAAAAAGCAGAGGCATTACTTGGCCAACAAAGGTCCCTCTGGTCAAGGCTATGGTGTTTCCAGTAGTAATGTATGGATGTGAGAGTTGGACCATAAAGAAAGCTGAGCACCAAAGAACTGATGCTTTTGAACTGTGGTGTTGGAGAAGACTCTTAAGAGTCCCTTGGACTGCAAGGAGATCAAACCAGTCCATCCTAAAGAAATCAGTCCTGAATATTCACTGGAAGGACTGATGTTGAAGCTGAAACTCCAATACCTTGGCCACCTGATGCAAAGAACTGACTTATTTGAAAAGACCTAGGTGTTGGGAAAGATTGAAGGCAGAAGGAGAAGGGGACGACAGAGGATGAGATGGTTGGATGGTATCCCCGATACAATGGACATGGGTTTGGGTAGACTCCCAGGAGTTGGTGATGGACAGGGAGGCCTGGTGTGCTGCAGCTCATGCAGTCGCAAAGAGTTGGACACGACTGAGCAGCTGAACTGAACTGAACTGAGTCTAGGCTCCTTCAAATAAGATATTTTTTAAGTCATTTGAATCCACATATTATGATCCATTTTATAATTATAATAGAGTCTCTTTTTACAAAGATATAAAGATGTTCTCTTCTAGAATAATTCACTTTAGGTTAAAAATCATTTGGGGATCACAAAAAGATGGAACGTTCCTTTGCCAATTCAAGATTAAGTTCAGAAGTGAACATGGAGTTTTTTCAGTGTTGATCTGGCTAACATTACACTAAACATATGTACACTGTATTACACTTAAATTATTTGTGTTGAAGCTATTATCTGGGGCTTTCCTGGTGGCTCAGCAGTAAAGAATCCGCCTGAAATGCAGGAGCCACAGGAGACCTGGGTTAGATCCCCCGACTGGGAAGATCCCCTGGAGAAGGGCATAGCAACCCACTTCAAGATTCTTGCCTAGAGAATCCCATGGACAGAGGAGTCTGGCAGGCTACAGTCCATTGGGTCGAAAAGAGTCAGATACAACTGAAGCAACTTTGCAAGCAGCCATTATTTAACGCTTAAAAAATACATATTTAGTTAGCCATTCAAATTACATATTCAGACTTATCTGGTGGTCCAGTGGTTAAGAATCTAATTTGCAAGGCAAAGGATGTGGGTTCAGATCCCTGGTTGGGTAACTGAGACTCCACATGTGGACAAAAAAGAAGAAAAAGAAAATACATATTCAATTAAACACTCTCAGTCTTAACCTTCTCATCTAACAACAACAACAACAACAACAACAACAAAGTCCAGCTTCAGGTTGTTTGGGGGTAAAATGAGCAGACTCATGTGCCCTCCTTAGATTGGCATGTAAAACCTTCACCATCAGGACTGCATAGACTCACCGAACTCATTTTCCTCAGCTCCTTCCCTGCTGCACACCTCCTCCCAACCATGAGTCACATCCAGACTTCTGGTCATCCTTTAATTCCACCAGAGTTTGCCAAGCCTTCACACCTTTATGCTGGCTATTTTCTTTCTGTAGAAAATCTTTCTTTCCCTTCTCCAAAAAAACTCCTCATCATCAAAAATTTCAATCAAATAGTGTGAAACATATTTCACAACTGTAAAACATGCTAATTCTTCTGAGCTAGCTTGTCTTCTCTATTGCTTCCATCGCTCTGTTATTCATTGTAAGAATGTGTTTTCTATTTTTCTCTCATTAGTCTGTGAATATCCTGAGGGTGAAATTTATTTTTGTATTCAAAACACTTGCCCTAGGGAATTCCCTGTGGCCCAGTGGCTAGAACTCTTTCACCTCTGGCCTGGGTTTGATCCCTGTTTGGAAAACTAAAATTCTGAAAGCCAAGAGGCATGTCCAAAAACAAAACAAAAACAAACACTTACCCTAGTGCCTGATGTACAGACTATGAATAAAAGCTGGTGACATGGCCTGAGTGTTTAACTTATAAGTCATATTTTAGTGACTTAAATATTCATAGTACATAAGCTTTTAATTTAGATAGGAATTAAATTATTTCAATATATTTTGTTTTTCCCTCACTAATCCAGCCAACAAAAACAACATTTTTAATTCAAATCTGTGAAAGCGCTTTTAAAAAAAATATTTATTGTTTACATTTACTTCTTAATAATTTCACAAGTACCTGGTTCAATGATAGGTAGAATAGTCCTTCTCCAAGTGTAGCTGAAAAACTGCAAGTGGTTTGCACAGAGTTCTTGAACTTGTTTGTGCCTAGATGTGATTACAGAGTTGTCTTGTTTTTTGGCTCATTCAGACATGGCTGCAGATGACCTGGACTGAAGCCAGTGTTCTGTGAAACTGCTTACATTAAGCAGGGGAATACCACTGTCCACCTATTGATGCCAGACCAGCTATCCAGCTGACAACTATCAGGCTACATTTTTCTTTCTCATCTAGTTATGATCACGACTGCCTGGATTGAAGTCCCAGCTTCCTCACGTGCTATGAACTTAGGCAGTCAACTTGTCCAAGCCTGTTTCCTCATCTGCAAAGTAGGGGTAATTTTAGCACCTATTTTAGAGAGCTCTTCTCAGGATTCAATACAAGTGAAGTGCTTGGAACGGGGTGAAGGATTAATTCATTCTACACATATTTATTTTTGCACACTTCGCTTCTAACTTTCAGTTCAGTTCAGTCGCTCAGTCTTGTCCGACTCTTTGTGACCCCGTGGACTGCAGCACGCCAGGCCTCCCTATCCATCACCAACTCCCAGAGTTTACTCAAATGCATGTCCATCGAGTGGGTGATGCCATCCAACCATCTCACCCTCTGTCGTCCCTTTCTTCTCCTGCTCTCGATCTTGCCCAGTGAGTCACTTCTTCGCATTAGGTGGCCAAAGTATTGGAGTTTCAGCTACAGCATCAGTCCTTCCAATGAATATTCAAGACTGATTTCCTTTAGGATGGACTGGTTTGATCTTCTTTCAGTCCAAGGGACTCTCAAGTCTTCTCAGCTTTCTTTAAAACTTTAGGCTGTGAGGGTTTTTGTTTGTTTGTTTCCGTAACTATAAATTTTCATCTGTCTGTTTCTTGAGAGTGTCGGGATAGTGAAAGAAACAATTGTGTGTGGGGCGGGGAGAGTCTTTGCATTTCAGATTATTTCAGCATCGCTAGGTAGTAGCAGGGTTGGTCGAGGGAGGGAAAAATAATCAGTAAACCGTTGGCAGAGCAGGTCGGGCGCGAGAGTAAGTTTGACACTTTGAGGCTCCCGTAGTTAAGCTAGCTTTAAGAAGCAAGATGGCGCCGCCCGCCGAGCTACCCATGTGCTGTTTCCGGTCACACACGGAAGCACGACTCCGAACGGCCGCTGAGACGGTTGGAAGTTGCCAGCGTTGTGGGTTTTCTTAAAACTGCTCGTCGCGGAGCCAGTCAGCAGCCAACATGTCTAGCAGAAACAATAACAAGCTGCCCAGCAACCTTCCGCAGTTACAGAATTTGATCAAGAGGGACCCGCCGGCCTACGTGGAGGAGGTGGGAATGCGGCGCGGTGACGCTGGAAAACCGGGTTGAGACGCTGGCTATAGCGAGGCGTAGGATGTAGCTGGGATTCTGTCTCGCCGCGTGTTCGTCTCTTAAGTTCAGGGGTTCCCCGCGAGGAGAAAAGAGGTTAAAGGAGACATATGCCTCAGGGTTCTTTTCCCACCTCTTGAAATCTGCTGCCTGTTTGGATTTTCTGCTTGCTCGGTAGACCCCGCTGCCACAGAAACACCTTTTAAAAGACCTCATTTTGCTTTATCTCCGGACCTTATTGAGGTGGAGAGACAAATGTTCAGCCTCCTAACCCCCGACTTACAGAAAATTTTCTCAAGCCTTTTGTTTTCTGAAACCCCTAAATTGAGTTAGTCATTAACACTTGAAACTTTTGTTAGAATACTTTAGATCTAGGTCTGTTTCCGGGAGCCGGCCTTCTGTGCCAGGGACTGTGTTGGGAAGGAGGGCGGATTCTCAAGTATAGGGGACTGACACAGGAGCTTGGTTGATCATGGTGTTGTTCAGTAGTTCAGTCGTGTCCACTCTTTGCGAAACCATGTACTCCAACATGCCAGGCTTCCCTGTCCTTCACCATCTCCCGGAGCTTGCTCAAACTCATGTCCGTTGAGTCGGTGATGCCATCCAACCATCTCATCCTATCGTCCCGTTCTCCTCCTGCCTTCAGTCTTTCCCAGCATCAGGGTCTTTTCTAGCTTGGTATATATATTTAATATATATACTCTTCCCTGGTGGCTCAGAAGGTAAAGCGTCTGCCTGCAGTGCTGGACACCCGGGGTTCGATCCCTGGGTTGGGAAGATCCCCTGGAGGAGGGCGTGGCAACCCATTCCAGTATTCTTGCCTGGAGAATCCCCATGTACAGAAGAGCCTGGTGGGCTACAGTCCATGGGGTTGCGAAGAATTGGACATGACTGAGCTACTAAGCACAGCCCAGCATAAACCATTAGACAAAGCATAGTTGAGAGTCTATACAGTGCTGTATTTAAAAGCACTGGTTTCAGCACTAACTCTGTACTCTGGGCCTACTATTGACCCGTTGTATAACCGGAGATTTAACCACCTGAGCCTATGTGTATTTGAATGTGCAAGGAGATAATACCTACCTCAGAGGATTACCCATCCATTCACTTAAGAAATTCTTATACAAATTCACACATATTGTATCTCCTGTGTGTTAGTATTTATAATTCTAAGCACTCAGGGTACTGGGCTTCCCAGGTGGTTTAGTGGTAAAGAATCCACCTGCCAAGCAGAAGACACAAGAGACACAGGTTTGATCCCTGGGTTGGGAATATCCCCTGGAAAAGGAAATGGCAACCCATTCTAGTGTTCTTGCCTGGACAATTGTAATTTCCAGGAGCCTGGCACACTGCAGGCCATGGGGTTGCAAAAAGTCAGACACGACTTACCAACTCAGTCACCACCACCAAGCACTCAGGATGCAAGGATAAATAAGGTATGAGAGCCTTCTTCTCTTGGATTTACATTCTAATGATAGTAAGATTCCAATGATGGAAGACATAGAGTGATAAGAGTTATGAGGAAAGTAAAACTGGATATGAGTATATTAGGATTGGAGGCTGTTGATTTGGCTCCCATAAACAGGGAAGGCTTTTCTGCTATGATATTGAGGCAGGTCAAGAGCATTCTAGATAGGGAGAATAGGAAGTGTAGAGGCTTTCAGTGGAGAAGAGGTGGAGAGGTGGCCGGTGTGGCTAACATGTAGTGAGCACAGAAAAGGGTAGTGTAAGATGACATGGGAAATGCAGGCAGACAGAGATTGGGTCATGTGGGGCCCTTGAAAACATGGTAGTGTTAAGATTTTACTCTTGGTGTATTAGGGAGCCATTGAAGAGTTTTAAGCAGAGGTGTGACGTGATCTGATTTATATTATTAAAAATTTACTCTGGAGGTTATAGGTTGTAGAGCAGCAAGATTGCAAGCAGGGTAACTAATGTAACAGCTGTCAGAATGGCCTAGGTGAGGGTTGGTGGTACCACCAACCTCTGTTGGAATTATCAACAAGTGGAGGGAAGTGAACAGATGGAGGCTAGCTCTCATGGAAATGGAGACCTGGAGCTAGTAGAACTTCCAGGTGGAGTGGACCTGGGGGAGAAGGAAAAAGGAAGGAAGAATGATTCAGGTGTTTCTATTTCTGCTTCTGGGTATGTGACAAGTACTATTTAGTACCTGTTGTGTACTAGGTACTGGGACTATGGTAGTGAGCTATACAGATAAAAATACCTTTTTTAATTAAATTATTTTCTAGTCCTCTAGGGGAAGAAGTGGGATAAGGATCTTGCCAAGAGCGCTCTGAGTAATGGGCCCTCTCTTCACTTGTCAGTGGCATTGTGGAGTCCAGAGAAGTAGGGTCTTAACTGAGCCACGTAGGGACTGCAGGTCTCCCTCTTTGATTCCTACTCTTGGAGAAAACTGGAGGCCTAGCAGTTTTGGAGGGAAATCAGGGGTCATGTTTTTTGACCAAGCTAAGTTTAAGATGTCTGTTAGACAGCTCAGCAGGCAATTGGATACATAAATTTGGAGTTCACTGAACCAGTCAGGGATGGTAATACAAAGAAATATTCATTCTGTTTCTAAGTATCCCTCTCTCTCTCCTCCCCTTCCCTTCCCTCTCTTCTCCATTCTCTCCCTTTCTCTCTCACAGAAACACACATAGTTTGAAGCCATGACCTAGGCATGGAAAGTGGGTGTAGGGCATAGAACAGCTTGGGAGTTCCAGCATTAGATTATTGTCTTATTATTAGAATTAAACATAATTAAATGAAGTAATGTACATGATAAGTTTGGCACATAGCAAGTACCAAATAAAGGGGAGCTGTTATCAGTATTATTTCTTTTGTATCATTGCTTTTGTCTGTTAACACATCTTATCTAGAACTCCAGGGTAAAATCATAATTATTATTTAAAGGAAGAAGGAAATTTTGACTGGAGAGCTTTGTGTGCTTGAGGTGTAATTTTATATTTTATTGCCCATTTTCTGACTCATATATATTTTTGCAGGTATTGGGGCTCCATATCATAGATAATACAATAGAGGATCATTTAGATAGTAAATGGCAGTATAGAGCCGGATCTGACTCTTTGACTCTTGTTTCACTGTTCTTCATACCTTTATACCTAGATTTCTAATGCTAAGGGAAAGGCTCTTTAGATTACCTGTGATGTGCACAGATTTTTCAAAACTTGTTTTGAAGAATACTGATAAAGGAAAACAGTGTTTTTATATACCTTTACTACATCTTTTTCTCAATGCCACTGTCAAAGATTTCTAAGTAACTTTTTTATTCTGTACTGAGAAAGTCTTGTAATAGAAGGTGACCAGTTTAAATTTTATTTTTTTGCAGTTTCTACAGCAGTATAATCACTACAAATCCAATGTGGAAATTTTCAAATTACAACCAAATAAACCCAGCAAAGAACTGGCAGAGCTGGTGATGTTTATGGCTCAGGTAAGATTTTTTTCGGAGGTGGGGGGTAAATCACAGTATAGTTGTTACACACAGCTTGCAGAATATTTTCCCACTTATACCCAATCTCATTTCATCTGTAAGTGGAAGCTAATTAAAAAAAAATTTTTTTTTTACTTTCCCTTTTTGCAAATTTTATTTTTCTCCTATGTTAGAGGATTTCACTAGAACTTTTCACAAAACCAACCAGAGCAAAGAAAGCTTTCAAACTATTTGTTTTCTTCAAATTCATCATGAAAGCAGATTCTGAATCATGTCATATAATTTACTAAGACTAGAAGAAATATGAAAGGAGTCAAGAGAGATTAGTGTGTAGAAGAGAAAGAGATGACTTGGAGCATCTACTTTTATGAAACATAGCCTTTTACTCTCCTTTTGCAGAACATCCTTAATCTGTGCATATGAATTATAGGAGAGAAAGGAAAACTTCAGAAGAGCCTTTGCTTTGTTACAGATTAGTCACTGTTATCCGGAACATTTAAGTAACTTTCCCCAAGAGCTGAAAGATCTTCTCTCCTACAACCACACTGTCTTGGATCCAGATCTCCGAATGGTAGGGCCAGTACTTGGGTTGATAATTTGTGCTGTGGTCATGTATGCGTATAATATGTATGGATATTTGAATGAGAACCGTCTGTCATCTAAACATCTTCCTAAACTGTTGATCAGTGTATCACCCATTCATTAAAATTCTTCTGTGCTTCTCATTTACGCAGAAAACAGCTCAGACGTACTTAGCCTGTAAATCCTTACGTGATCTGCTTGCTGCCTGTGTTTCTGACCTCATCTCCTTCTCTGCTACACTCCCCTCTGATCTCTCCATTCTGCCAGCCTGCTAACCCTGCCAGGATGTTCTTTTCCCCATTTTGAGTAGGTGATTCCTCTTAGTCATTCAAATCTCATATGCATGAAGAACCCTAATTACAACTTAGAGTTTTTATAAAGCTGAATTGAGACATTTATCCATTAAGTAGCCAGTTTGTGCATTTGTAAACACTGTTACCCGGGTGACTGACATTGGGTCCCTTTTACCTGGCCAGTGCTCCCACCTGCGGAGAATGTCAGGTGTGAAGGCGCCCAGCGGCCCTTTCTCTAGAGCACTGCTGCTGCTGCTAAGTCACTTCCGTCGTGTCCGACTCTGTGCGACCCCATGGACGGCAGCCCACCTGGCTCCGCCGTCCCTGGGATTCTCCAGGCAAGAACACTGGGGTGGGTTGCCATTGCCTTCTCCAATGCGTGAAAGTGAAAAGTGAAAGTGAAGTCGCTCAGTCGTGTCCGACTCTTAGCGCCCCATGGACTGCAGCCCACCAGGCTCCTCCGTGCATGGGATTTTCCAGGCAAGAGGACTGGAGTGGGGTGCCATGGCCTTCTCCCCTCTAGAGCGCTGTCTTTAGCTAAATAGGAGCCCTAGCCCCTGAGAGGTGGCCCTTCCAGCCCACAGGTGATGTCTGACTAACCCAGAGGTTCAAAAGCCAACCCTTCCCACAGGGTGGATCCAACTCCAGGGCTTCTCTGTGATCAAACTAAAGCTTGTCTCCAGCCACGGATGTATCCTTGCCCAGCTTTTCTGTGCCTCCTGCTTTCTTTCCTTCCCTTCTAGAAAAGAGCACACACTGGACAAACCTCTGTAATGAATTGCGCTCTGAGGCTAGGGAACCCAGGCAGAGGCATTATTTAAATCTCATGCATCAACTTTTCAAACATCTTTATAGCTGGTAGAACTTACACAGAAATTATGGTCACAAAACATTCTAATATCCTTTACTAAAGCTTATAAAAATGCTAAGTCTGTAGATTCAACTTTGTTTCTTATTCTTTCATTTTCCCAAGCTTTCTGTAATTCTATTTTTATACTTCTCTAGGATTATCTTAATTTGGTTAGGCCCCAAAGAAAAAGAATACCATCTCAGCACAGCCTGAAAGGCTTCAGACTTGAACCATTATGGAAGACTTTTACTTACGTCATGGATTTTTCAAGCCCATGTGGACCATACAGATTTTGAGCGTAGAGACTTACTGTCTTTCCAAGTAATTAGGTTTTCTTTGTTTTGTGTGCTAACAGTATCCAACCAAATTGGTCTACAGGCATTATTAAATAAATATGTATATTATTTCTTTGCAGTGTTTTATGATGATTAGTAGGTTTTTTAAAATAATTAGGAGATTGCTAGGAAACAAGGGATTGAATCAGTGTAATTAGCATTCCTCTTTAGAGGAATCATTAGAACACAATGGTGAATCCTGTTTTTAATTAGCTGTAGTGATAACCACCAATCCTTTTCAACTCCTGGACTTTTTCTTCCTAGCCTATTTGCTATTTTTCCAGGACTTTTATCATTCCCAAATTTTTGTTCACTCCTTCCTCTTAAATAGGTATAAACAACTGTGTTTTTTAGTGGAAGAAACAAAATACGTATATTAACATTTACTTAATTAAACCATGGTTTTTTAATTATTTATTTGTTATGTTATTTTTAAATAACATTTACATATTTAATAAAATTTCTATTTCTCTATCTTTGACATCATAGGTACCTATTATTAAAGTTCAAATTGTCACAACCTGGCCAGTCCTTTTAACAATGCCCATGATGTGTTTGAAAGCATCCTTGCATTCTGGCAGAAATAGTTCCAAATCCTTTCTTACTGTTTTGTCTGCCCCAAGACTTGAAATCAACTGTTCGCCAGGGATCGCTTATTCCATCTAATGGAGAATTGTATTAGAGGCCAAAATTTGGGGGGATTAAGGGTTCTCATGGAAGTTGGTGGTGAGAGTGCTGCAACTGCCATTGGGCTGTTCTTACTGCGAACAGTACTTCAAAAAAAAAAGCCTTGTAAAGTCACAAATTCAGCTTGATTATTCCAGTTTAGTGTGTTATGTGATTGTTACCCACCTTTCTTATGTCTGTGGATTCACTGATCACTAGTATTTTATGTTGATACTTCCTTGACCTCCTGTGTAAAGGAGCCCTGCCTCAGTCACTGTGTAGTAATTGTACCACCCTGTTTTAAATTCCTTCCTGAGATTCACCTGTTTATATGCTTACTTGCTTGTCTGTCCCCTCTGCTGCTCCACCCCCGGTGTAAGATCCACAAGGGCAGAGACTTTCTGTTCTGTTTCAATGCCTGGAATAACACCTAGTTAGTAGAAGATACTAAGCAGTTTGGGGATATTCCACCTCCATTTTGTCATCGTTATCATTGTCTTATAGTATGTTTTTTTCCCTTCCTGAGACATTTTGCAAAGCTTTGATCTTGCTGAGAAATAAGAATCTCATCAATCCATCAAGTTTGCTGGAACTCTTCTTTGAACTTCTACGTTGCCATGATAAGCTTCTGCGAAAGGTAAAGAACAAAACCACTCCCTACCCCCATATGTCATTTTTCCTTGCAGTGACATAAAACTTACAGAGTTTGGAGTCTTTTGAATTCTTGAGGCTTTGTATCATTGGAAACAGCTAAGAAATAATTTTAATAGGAAAAAATTGAGCATTGTGCACAGGGCAATATAGTAGTAATAGCTAATGTTCATTGTTTACTTTTTGCTGGGTTACCATTTTCAGAGCATTTTACATATTTTTTTACTCACAAAGTGCTGTGAGATAGGGCTTATTATTGTTATTATTTCACAGATGAAAAATTTGAGGCACAGAAAGAGAGAGTAACGTGCCCCGGGTCACACAGCTCCTGCAGGAGCATAAAGCCAAGCAGCCTGGCTCCAGAACCCAGTCCCTTTTCCACTGCACAATACTGACCAGCTAAAACTGACCTTTTTTGTTCTTTATATTTCCCTGTGACTTTATGTTTGCTTTATATAAAGTCACTTTATGTGACTTTATATATAAGTAAGACCAGGAGCTGAAGGTTTGTGAAAGAATTTTCAGAAAGAGAAACTAAAGTTTACATTCATTAACTTAAATTTTTTTTTTTCAAAGTGTTAAAAGAGACTGTATTCATTTGATTTTAGCAATTATACTTCTTGATCTAACTTGTGGAATAAAAGTGGTCCATATTTTGGGTACCAATGATATCTGCATGCGTTTATGGGAGTAACTTTCCCGTTTAAAAAAAAATAATGATTTTATTCAGATGATATAATTCATATACAGTTCATCCATTTAAAGTGTACAATTCAGTGGTGTTTAGTACATTCACAGAGTTTTGCAGCCATCACCACAGTCAATTTTAGAACACTCATAACCTCCTGAAAAGAAACCTCATTCCCATTAGCAGTTACTCCCACCCTCCCATCCTCCCCCCATCTATCCCAGCCCTAGGCAACCACCAATGTACTTTTGGTCTCTATAGACTTGCCTACTCTTCATGTTTCTTATAAATGGAATCATATAATGTGTGATTTTTTGTGACTGGCTTCTTTCACCTAGCGTAATATTTCAAAGTACCTCCATGTTGTAACTTGTGTCATCACCTCATTCCTTTTTGTTGCCAAATAATGTTTCATTCTCTGGTTATACCACTTCCTGTTTATTCACTCATCAGTTAATGAACATTTACATTGCTTTCACTTTCTGGCTGTTAGGAATAATGCTGCTATGAATATTTGTGTGAACATTGGAAATATATGTTCATATCTCTTGGGAATTTAACCAGGAGTGGATTTGCTGGTCATATAACTCTATATTTAACCTTTTGAGGGTAACTTTCCTTTAACTGCTTTTTTTGTTTTATTTGTTTTTGGTCTCTTTTGTGATAGAATGAAAAACGGGTAAGCTAAATCCTCTTGTACATTTGTATTTCTCTCCAAATAAAGTGAGATTAGGAATGTCAGTTAATGTACATGTTTTTGTTTCTTTTCCACAGACTTTATACACTCATATTGTGACTGATATCAAGAATATAAATGCAAAACACAAGAACAATAAAGTGAATATAGTAAGTACCCTTTTGTTTTCCATGTTTGCAGCATTGTATTGCAGTATTGTGCAATATATTAAGCCTTCTTTCTCCACTTTTCCTTCAGGTATTGCAGAATTTCATGTATACCATGTTAAGAGATAGCAATGCAACTGCAGCCAAAATATCTTTGGATGTCATGATTGAACTCTACAGAAGAAACATCTGGTAATATATATGTACTTATCTCTTGACAAATAGGCTTATATACGCCTGTAATTACCACAGAACATATACACAAATATATTTCTTGATTTTGAGCTCTTTAATATGTCACTGATATAGATTAAGTTGGAAGTAAACATACAGAGGCAATCCAAAATGACTAATGATAACACTGGCTACCATTTCTTGAGCACCTGCACTATGCCTTACCCTGTTCAACCTGCAGAACAGTGTAATGTAGCTTATCTGGGATTATTCCCATCTTACAGGTAATGAGACCTGTAGGTTCATGAGCTTAAGTGTAGTAGCTAATAAAAGGTAGAGTTGAAATTCAAACCCTGATCTGTCAAAACTCTGAAGTGTAGGCTATTCCTAGCCTCTGTGGCCTCTGAAGATTTTCAAATCAATTTATTCTCTTTACTTAAATAAACTTCAGCTTGTTGGTACAGTGCCCCCAACTCATGTCTTTTGCTTTTCTTATTCACTAATTTTTTAAAAAGTATAAAAGTGATATTTGTTGCAGCAGAAAAGCTGGAAAGTTGGCTTTTTTTTTTTTTAATTTATTGGTAGTCCTACTACCTGTATGCTTTCCATGTGGCACTAGTAGTAAAGAACCCGCCTGCCAGTGCCAGAGACAGAGAGATGCAGGTTCAGTCCTTGGGTTGGGAAGATCCTCTGGAGAAGGAAATGGCAACCCATTCCAGTATTTTTGCTTGGGAAATCCCATGGACAGAGGAGCTTGGTGTGCTAAGGTCCATAGGGTCACAAAGAGACAATCACAGTTAATATGATATTTCCTCTTGTCTTTTCTTTAATGTGAATGTTGAAGTATGGTTGGAATTTTGCTGTATTTTAGTTTTTTTAAATTTTTCCCCCCCAATTTATCTTGAGTAGGGTTTATATGTCATTTAAAATCCTTCCAAAAAAACCTACTTTTTAATGTCTGCATAGCTTTCTGACAGAAGACTGAGCTAGAATTGAACTGGGCTAGAAATGTTCACCTGTAGTTGGCTATTTAGCAACCCATGACTTTTTGAAATAGTGCAAACTATAAATTTTAACATGTCAGAAGTATTTATTATTTATTTTGTGCCATTGTCTATGCTATCAAGTACAATAGAATGAAAATTTACTTTAAAACACTCAACTGTCTTCCCCCAGGAACGATGCCAAAACTGTCAATGTGATCACAACGGCCTGTTTCTCTAAGGTCACCAAGGTGAGCTCCTGCAGGGCTGTGTGGAGGCACCATCAGTAGGTAGTCCCCTCTCTAGCCGAAAGGTGAAGGAGAGGAGTGGGTGTGCAAGGAAGCGCTGGCGTGCAGACACACACTGTCCATCCTGTGCTCAGGCTGCTTCCCTGCTTTATCTGTGCTCTGGAACAGGCAAACAAAATAAGAGTTTTTAAAATGGTCTCTATTAAACGATAGCCTTAGCATTTATTTTATGTTTTCCCCTGTAATTCTTGACTGTTCTTTTATTGGGTTCGGACAAAGCTGAAAGAAATTTAAGGGTGTGTTTGACTTTCTGTTAGAAGGGCTATGATATCCCTTTTCTTATGGGGGATGTAGAAGTTCTTGACTTGCCGCTTGAAGGATAACAACTGGCTAAGAAAGATGAGCCCAAATCCTACCACTCTTTTTTTTTTTTTTTTCCGCTTCAGATCCTGGTTCATATGCATGTATAAAATATAGACAGAAGTATTTATTGTTTGTTGTAAGCTGGCATAAGTAATTGACTTTGTCTGAACTGCTCTTTAGATATTAGTTGCTGCTTTGACATTCTTCCTTGGGAAAGATGAAGAGGAGAAACAAGCCAGTGACTCAGAGTCTGAGGTTAGTTTAACCACGGATACTTTTGAACTTTACAGTTTATCAGATTTTATTATTGCTCTCAGAGTAGATTGTTAAAGTTAGAAACTTCTATGCTACCTTTATCCTTTATTGAGTTCTGCCATGCAGAGATTTTGTTCTATTTAGATTTTGTCCCATTCAGTAAGATTGGTTAAATAACTAATAAAACTTAGATTCATTCAATCTTGTTCTTTCTAAAGCTATACCTATATAGCACCATTTAAACCTAGAATAAAAATTACTGCCAATATATTTTTGAGGTTAAACATCATGGAGGTTTATAGAGTGGAGAAAGGAAGTCGTGTGTGTGTGTGTGTTCTAAGTCTCTTGAGCCTTGTCTGACTCTGTGACCCTAAAGACTATAGCCTGCCAGGCTCCTCTGTCCATGGAATTCTCCAGGCAAGAATACTGGAGTGGGTTGCCAAGCCCTTCTTCAGTGGATCTTCCCAACCCAGGGATCAAACTCACATCTCTTATATCTCCTGCATTGGCAAGCAGGTTCTTTACCATTAGCACCACCTGGGAAGCCCTGGTGGTGTAGCATCTTTAAAAGGAAGAATCAGGATTTATGATGTCATGGAATTTTCTTTGTTAAAAATACTTTTATTAAGATGAAAAATAAATTCTGAAAAAATGTCCCTTCTCATTTTTGCATTTTGATAATAATAGCGGAATATGAAATAACATCTTATAATTTGTTTTGTTATTAAATAACATATGAACAATAGATTCCTATTGTAAAAATTTCAGATATTATAGATATAATAAAATAAAAGTTTTCTCAATCCTTTCTTCTTTCCCACCTCCCTTTTCATAGATAACCACTTCGTTTCTCATGCATTTATATGTGGACCTATATATATTGTCTTATGTGTGTAGTCTGTTTTTAGAATATGTGTAAACAATATATTTTATTTTGCACCGTGTTTTCTTTGTGATGATATATATATAATAGAGATAGATGTATCAGTGCATTTGGATAGTCTTCTACTTGTACATATAGATCTATCTCAGTATTTTAACCTCCACATAATGTTTCAGAATATGAAATGTAGTGTAGATTAAGTATTTCCCTATTGATAAACACTTGTTTCCAGGTTTTTTTTCCTTCAAATAAAAACATAGTTGCCTTCTGTCTATATATTATACTTCAATAAAAACTAAAGCAGAAAAACAAGTTAGTGCTGTAGTGGAAATCTTGTATGTGCCTGTTTCTGCACATGGGCAAACATTTTATTGAATTTTTAAAGTTGTGTTTATTTTTAATCGCATCATGCAAAGAGTACAAATACAAAGAAGTGACTGAAAGGGTTATTCTCTGCTCTTATGCAGATTTTCCCTGTTTATGGTTTTACAAAGTAGTTTTTTCTTCAGGATGAAGGACCAACAGCAAGAGACCTGCTTGTGCAGTATGCCACTGGGAAGAAAAGCTCTAAAAACAAGAAAAAGTTGGAAAAGGCTATGAAAGTCCTCACGGTGAGACTTACACCTAGGAAAGGAGATGGGATTCATTAAAATGCAGAATATGTGGTCTTTAGCAAAAGCTTTTAGGCATTTGAAATAAAGTAGCATTTTTGTTAAAGACTTAGAAATGTGTGATGAATTTTTAAGCCCTGATTTTTTAATTTATTTTTTAATTTTTTTCCCCCATTTATTTTTATTAGTTGGAGGCTAATTACTTTACAGTATTATAGTGGTTTTTGCCATACATTGACATGAATCAGCCATGGATTTACATGTGTCCCCCATCCTGAACCCCCTTCCCACCTCCCTCTCCATCCCATCCCTCTGGGTCTTCCCAGTGCACCAGCCCTGAGCACTTGTCTCATGCATCCAACCTGGGCTGGAGATCTTAAGCCCTGATTTTTTTTAGATGAATAATTGTTCTCAGCTGTAGCAAAATCTGTGACTTGAATAAATTAATTTGATTAAATTCATTTTTATTTGTTTTGATCATGTCTTCTCAGAAGAGAATGCAAACGAAGTAAATCTTATATTTTGTAGTGATTATTTGAAGTCATTAATTTGGCCCTAGTTTGTTTTTTAACGTTTATATTTCCAGATCCCTATAAGTCTCACAGGTGCTAATAGCTGGAACATTCCCAAGCCGACTCTTAGAAGACGTAAACCACCTTTAGTTCTTCCAGTTGAAAGAAAGTTTTTTGGAACAAAGTTTTTTTTTTTTTTTTTCTTTTTAAATAGTGTGACAGACTTGGTAACAGCCTAGGGCCTCTTCACTATAATTCAGAATGTAAATATTTTCCTCTCCTTTTCTTTCAGAAACATAAAAAGAAGAAAAAACCAGAGGTGTTTAACTTTTCAGCTATTCACTTGATTCATGATCCCCAAGGTACTATAGTATGACCACCTAAGTTCGTTGTTGGCTTTATCTGCCTATTTAGCTTCCTAACTTTCAGGTTATCAAAGAATATAAAATCCCTGGCACTTAATAGACAATAAATGCTAAATTGTTGCCTGTTGGTCGTGGCCTAGAGAATTACATTCTAAAGCAGTGATTCCCAGCCCACAGCAAAATAAGAAAAATGTGGGGGAACAGCTCTCTTCACAATTCATGTCTTTCATAATGTAGTTAATAGTAAGACATTGTACTTGACCAAATGAAAAATTAACAATCTCTTCTTATTCCCATTGTTTTGTTTTGTTTTGTTTTAAAAACCAGTGGGTAGAAACCTAAAATTTGGGAAACTCTGTTCTAGAACACTAGTTCTCAAACTAGATTGCACATGGAATCAGTTGGGGAATTTTATGAAACTATACTGGTACTTAGGTCCTGTTATTCCCAGACTGATTAGTTGATATGCAGTATGACTGGACAATAGGGTGGTTGTTTGGTTTATGTGTTTTAATCCCTGTTGGTTATCTATTTTAAACATAACAGTGTGTACATGTCAAGCCCAGACCCCGAATCTATCCCTGCCCTGGCAATGGGGCTTTTAAATGCTTTCTGTACTCCAGTTTACTGACCCTTCCTCTTGGTCAGTGTTCCTCAAACTTTAAGGCATACACAAATCACTGTGGGATCCTATTAAAGTACAAATTCTGATTTTCAGTAGGTCTGGGGGTAGGTCCTGGGTTTCAGTATTTGTAATAAGCTACATGGTGGACAGCTGCGGGTGTTCTGCAGACCACACTTTAAGAAGCAAGGTCTTAGAGTGTTTGTCAGTCACTCAATGTTGTTGCTGAAAATCTTGGGAATCCTTAGGACTTAACTTTGGGCACCATCGAAGGTATATTTGTTTGTGTATAAGTCTTTTCACCTGTCCTGTCACTGTTTTCACCATCCTGGTTCTGCAGAGTGATTTCAGGCACAGTCACCCTAGAGTCAATGATCAAACCACCATTTTCTCTACACTTGTTGGATAACATTGTGCAGACCGTGGGCCCACAGTATACGTCTCTGATTATTTTCTTCTTTCCAGATTTTGCAGAAAAGCTACTGAAGCAGCTGGAGAGCTCCAAGGAGAGGTTTGAAGTGAAGATGATGCTCATGAACCTCATCTCCAGATTGGTGGGAATTCATGAGGTTTGCATTGCATTGTGTTTCTCTTGATGAATATTATAAGTAAATTATTCTTGGTAAAAGGACACTAAGGTAGATCCTCGCATACCGTTTCAACCCATACAGTTTACAAAAGGATAAAATCTTTCACTGGAAAACAGCTGTTTTTGTCACTTTTTCTTACCAGTAAGTATGAATGTTGAATTGTACATGTATTCAGTTTGTAGACAGTTTTTTTTTTTTAACTTCATTTACCTTTGTTTCACTTATACTTTTTTCTGAGCCAACATAGCGCATATATTTTTATCAACTGTTACTATGTTTCACCATTTACCCCATCATAGCTTTCCTGACTTCCGGCTTACTCACTTAACAAAGCTGAATTCTCTGATTATTCATTTAATATTAAATTAGATTGCAAGAACTCTTTGGTGGTATAATGTATGTATATTGTGTATACACATGGAAACCTTAAACATACTCAGACTATCTGCCTTTATAGAAGAAGGAGGAATTCCCAAAAATTCAGGTGAGGAAGAAATGACCGTTGAGGTTGTTCCTGTCATTTTGCTCTTGTGACTAGTTCTGATCTGATTGTCATTGAATATGTTGCTTTCTTCAAAAAACAAAAAGTAAAACAGGCTTCTTTATTGAATATCATGCAGTATAGACAAATACCAAGATAAAAATGAAAATAGACATGAGTGAATATATTTACTCCATTTCTAAAAGAAAAACTCAGCGTTTTAAGAAAAAATTGCTTTTTCTCCATGGGCTACAGTTCTAAAGCAGGATCATCCAGTCAATTCTTGTCACATTTGTGCAGTAATTTCAAGTCAACCTGAATTTGAGCTCAACAGAAAAGCAAAAGTGATTTATAATTGAAGTCTGATTTGATGGAACTGAAAACTGGAGTTTCACAACTGACTGCAATTAAATATCCATCTCTATATCAAACACAAGTCTTGCCATTTAGTTTTCTGATTCTCCTGGTCCTACTTTTGCTCTGTGACTAAAATAGAAAAAAATTTATTCTCACATGATGAGCTTTGAAAAAGACTAAGCCATCTCCAAAGTTTTTCTTCTTGAAGTTAAAGATTACAGTTGCTTTAATAACGGGATCCTAATCACTTTCATCTAGGTAGTTCAGTTCAATTCAGTCGCTCGGTTGTGTCCCAACTCTTTGTGACCTCATGGACTGAAGCATGCCAGGCCTCCCTGTCCATCACCAACTCCCAGAGTTTACTCAAACTCATGTCCATTGAGTCAGTGATGCCATCCAACCATCTCATCCTCTGTCATACCCTTCTCCTCCCGCCTTCAATCTTTCCCAGCATCAGGGTCTTTTCAAATAAGTATTGGAATTTCAGCTTCAACATCAGTTCTTCCAATGAATATTCAGGACTGATCTCCTTTACGATGGACTGGTTGAATCGCCTTGCAGTCCAAGGGACTCTCAAGAGTCTTCTCCAACACCACAGTTCAAAAGCATCCATTCTTCAATGCTCAGCTTTGGATGAGAGTCCAAATCCATACATGACTACTGGAAAAACCATAGCCTTGGCTAGATGGACCTTTGTTGGCAAAGTAATGTCTCTTCTTTTCAATATGCTGTCTAGGTTGGTCTTAACTTTCCTTCCAAGGAGCAAGCACCTTTTAATTTCATGGCTGCAGTCACCATCTGCGGTGATTTTGGAGCCCACATCTAGGTGAAGCTCAGAGTAATTTCTCCAGTGTGGTTCGATTGGTATCCAATAACAAAACTAGACTGTGGATTTTTTGGTGATCAGATTACACTACGTGCTATTAAGGTCTGAATTACTATTACCTTTGAAGACTAAAAAGTTGCTTCTGTAGCCACACCAATTAAAAGTAGAATATTGCATTTTGACTGCTTTTCCTCCCTTGGTTTATTCTGTGTACACTTTCTGCCTTGACATAATGAGGGTAGGAACATAGCCTTCCTGTCCTTGGTTAATACAGTGCATTGAATCATCCTGGATCACTCATACTTGTTGAGTGGGGGGGAATGAAAGTAAAAAATGACCCCCAGTTAGGTAAGCTTGGTGACATAGTCAGATCATGGAGCAGTGAAACTCTGCAGCCCAGCGGAGTTTACATATTAAGTCCGCGCATTCTTCTCTCCACAGCTTTTCCTCTTCAACTTCTACCCCTTTGTGCAGAGGTTTCTACAGCCTCACCAGAGAGGTAAGGCTTCCACTTGCTGTGTTCCTTTGGTGGCCTTGGGGTTAGAATAACCACTTTTGTTCTGGAATTGCAGTTATTTGGAGAGGAAAAACAAAAAATATTTGGTTCCTCAGAGCAAGTCTTTTTGTAATACCATGCTCATACGGAAAATTCTTAAAAAGACTTTTGACTATTTACTGTAACTTGGTAATAGATACCAGGGTTTGTCTTACTGCTTTCATTGCCCTTATTTGTATTCTTAATTAAAAACATCAATATTGTTAATAGACTATACCTCAATACAAAATAAAAAGTTTGTAAAATTTGGGGAAAAAGAAAAACAACATAAAAGCAAGAAGAAAGTAATGGTTGTTTTTGCCTTTGAACTTGTACCAAAGTAGGAAAGAAGTGAACATTTATTGAACATTCAGCATGTGCCAAAGGCTGTGCTGAACGATTCACATGTAGTCATCTCGTTTCATCCTCACTTCAGTCCTATGAGGTATAGAAAGAAAAAAGACCAAGATCCCTCTGTTCATTTGCTAAAGGCCTCGTTCTTTATATATGGTTGGTTTAGTTGCTAAGTCGTGTCTGACCCTTGCAACCCCATGGACTGTACCCATCTGTCCATGGGATTCTCCAGGCAAGAATACTGGAGTGGATTGCCATTTCCTTCTTCAGGGGATCTTCCTGACCCAGGAATCAAACCTGGGCCCCCTGCATTGCAGGCAGATTTTTTATATATACTGCTTCTTTAAAGGGAGAGTGTGTGTATATATGTATGTTTATATTTTTTCATTTATTTAGTGATTCCTAGTCTGAGCACTGCATTAGACATCAGTGAACATAAAGTATTGTTCTTACCTTCATAGAGCTTACATTCTAGAGGGAGATCCACAGAGTGTTGTATATAATATGTCCAGGTGAAGATAAGTATTTTGAGAAAAAAGGAAGCAGGTAAGGAGAACAGAAAGTACCAGGGTGGGTTCTGTTTGAATTATGTGATCAGGAGAGACATTTTGATGAGGCAGCAGTTGAGCAGGAAGCAAGGCAGTGAGCCATGCAGACGTCTGAGAGTTGGGTGTTCCAGGCGGAGTAATCAGGAGCAGTAAGGCCGGTGTGTGTGCTCACCATGTTTGCTGTGGTCCTGAGACAGGGCTGTAAACTGACTGACCGTGGCCTTTCTCATCTCTTACATTGTTAGAAGTAACGAAGATCCTTCTGTTTGCTGCACAAGCGTCTCATCACTTAGTACCTCCAGAGGTGAGAACTCTTAAACTTTACTTCTGTCAGGATCTAGTGAGTACATAGCAGTGCCACTGAGTAATCCCACAGAGATTACTGTCCTCCCCGCCTTCTTAACCTGAGTAGAAGAGACACTAGCTCTTAAGGACACTTATATAGAGAAGTTTACTTATAGAAATAAAAGCATTTTACTATAGAAAATATAGTTTGTTTTGAACCAGGGGTTGAGAGTTCTTGTTTTGTTGAGTGGCCAAATTTTATCCTGGAGAAGGCAAGAATATCAGTGAATTTATATAGTGATTATTTTTCAAAGCTGGTAGTTCCTTTCTTTGATTAAAACAGTGTTGGATAAACCTGGGTCAAAGAAAATTTTTAACCAGTGTTGAAAACTTATATTAAAGGAGAGCCAGATTTAATCTCAGAATAGCCAAGAAGACAGCTGAAACCCAAAGTAGAGTACTTTTCTGTCTTCCTCAGTCTTGATCCTTCCACCTCCCAAACCGAAGGTGGAGGGCTGTTTATCCACTATGATAGTCTATCGTCCCTTCATCGTCAAAGCGTTTGAGTAGGTGGAGACATGTTACTAATACTCATATCCTTTCTTTCCATCCCATTCAGATCATCCAGTCATTGCTCATGACTGTGGCCAACAATTTTGTTACTGACAAGAACTCTGGAGAAGTCATGACAGTAGGGTATGTAGAACATGGCTGGAGGCAGTGGCTGTGGTTTTCACCTACTGGCTTTGCTTTCCATTACCAGGATATGAAATTTCAGCTAAAATGTGCCCTCTGAGAAAAACTTAAATATACTTCAGCCTTCTCAGTATTTTGCTTCTCTTGATAATTTTTTAATTTATTGGTTAGAATTTTGAGCCAGAGAAAAGATTTCTTTGCTTCTAATTAACATTTTGTTTTTAACTAGCTTTTTACTCTTTCAAATGAATGCTTGTGTGCAGTCTAAGTATTTTTTCCCTGTCTGCTACCCTGAATTCCTGTCGTCCCTGGAACAAATGATTCATTATTAAATGATCCTTTAATCCTAGAGCAGTTCAGTGACCTTTTTGATTAATTCAAAACAGTTAAGTGTGAGCACGTTTAGGGTGTCCAGTCTGTCCTGATAACTAAGCAGTATGCTGAGCAACTGCTTTTTATCTCACTTGGAAAACATTGCTGGGAGATAACAGCCCTAAAGACTAACTTCTTGGGTGGAATGGGTGGGTGGGGGATGTATAAGTAATTGTGACTGATTCGTGTTGATGTACGGTAGAAACCAACAAAACATTGTAAAGCAGTTATCCTCCAATTAAAAAAAAAAACTTTACTTGACCTAATAGTTTCCCTTAGAGTTGGCGAATAAATGCTGCCAACATATACAAGCCCACCTCCTTTTATTGCCCTTTGCTTTACACATTGAAGGTCTGTGGCAACTTTGTGTGGGGCAAGTCTAATGGCGACATCTTTCCAACAACATTTGCTCACTCCATGTCTGTGTGTAATGTTTTGGTAATCCACCAGCATAAAGATTATGCCTCACTGAAGGCTCAGATGAAGGTTAGCATTTTTAGCAGTAAAGTATGTTTTAATTAAGGGTATGTACATTTTTCTTAAACATAATGCTGTTCACATTTAATAGACTATAGTTGAAACATAACTTTTGTATATACACTGGGAAACCAAAAAATATGTGTGACTTGCTTTATTGCATTGTTCTGGAACCAGACCTGCACTGTGTCTGAGGCATGCCTATATTTTACAGAGGTGACAATGTTGCTTATTCTTCTAATAGAGGAAATAGCAGTAAACTGTGTGGAATCAAACCCCTCTGAGGCTGCCCACTCACTCCCACATTCCACCATGCTGAAGTTTTAGAGACCTCAGCACTATAAAACTGACCTTATATTCCTTGTGATTTAGTCTTTTTAGAAAATTTTCTTAGGTTGAATCACATGAAACTCCTGTTTATTTATTTTTTTATTTCATTTTTTCCTTTTTTAGAATCAATGCTATAAAAGAGATAACAGCTCGATGTCCTCTGGCCATGACTGAGGAACTTCTGCAAGACCTGGCTCAGTATAAGACACACAAAGATAAGAGTAAGTGCTGTATTACTTTCAGTAGATGGAGTATAGAGTATCTCATTTTTGTCTCAATAGACTCTTTGCTCTGAAGTTTCTAGTTAAAGCTGTTATTTTCCAGATGTGATGATGTCTGCTAGAACCTTGATTCAGCTCTTCCGAACACTGAATCCTCAGATGTTACAAAAAAAATTCCGGGTAGGTGAAGCATACATATGTTGATCAAGGATTTGGTCTCAGAAAGTGAGAGTAATTCCCTACAATTTGAGTTTGAGTACTTCTGGTGCTTGGAGGAGGAAATGGCAGCCCACTCCAGTATTCTTGCCTGGGAAATCCCATGGACAGAGGAACCTGGGGGCTACAGTCAGGCTGTCAGTGCTAGACTAGATGGGGTTGCAAAGAGTTGGGCGCAGCTGAGCACATATCTGATGCTTCCATTCAGAGTGTTGGTGATACATGTAGTTTTATTCTTTAAACGCAGAATAAAGTTGAATACTGTTCCTTAACTATTTTATAGTTGGTATATGCTCTTCGATACTGAATGAGTCTTATAGACCTCTTCAGATGTACGGCTGATGACAGCATTTAACAGGCTATTCCTTAATCAGATACTACCTCTGTTGAGGTGGGAGGAAATGAGATGTATGTATGTAACAGAAGAAGCAGAGATCTCAAGACTTAAGAATCAAAGTTTCCTGGGGTAGTTCAGAGGAAAGCAAGGAAACAGTGGGCAAAGTTTTGAGAGGGAATTTACTTTGACCCAAGACATTGGTGAACTGTTTTTGTCATTGATTTGCTTCCATTTTTTGTGATTCTCCTGAGTTCATAATCCTAGAGAATCCTTTTCATGAATAATGTTTTGCTGTCTAAGCAATTTAAAACTAGTTCCTTTCCTTTAGGGTAAACCTACAGAAGCCTCCATAGAAGCAAGAGTGCAAGAATACGGAGAACTGGATGCTAAAGATTACATTCCAGGAGCAGAAATTCTGGAAGTTGAAAACGGAGAAGAAAATGCTGAAGGCGACGAAGGTTTGTTCTTATTGCACCATTATTCAGGACAGAATCACTCCTGCTATGTTTGTATCGACCTTGAAATCTTTATACTGTGTGGACATTCATTCAGCTGATGTTAACTGAGTAATAACTACTGCTGCGGGCATTGCAGGTATTAATGGGCGTTGATGGGCATGGTTCCTGCCCTGAGGGAGCTGACATTCTAGTGTAGGAAACGCTTTTTGTGTCCTTCAGATTGGCTGCCCCTTGTCAAGGGCATGCTGTTTGATACTTGGGAAAGATAATGGGGTTTTGTTGTTTTTATTGCCTAGAAAAAATGGTGAGGATTACAGTCTCTAGCAATCCTCCCATTGAAGGAGAAAACTTGTTGAACTTGTTGAGGAATGCTTGAGGAACCCCGTTCTGATTTCCAAGATTAGCATTTATTGCTTTGGTTACTAGAGTCCTATCTTCTTCCTGTTTTTTCATTATTTCAACAAAACTTTTGTAAACATTAGCTATGAGCCAGCCATTGTCAAAGCAAAGATGAATGACATTGTTCCTGTCCTTGAGAATTTTTCATAAACAGCTAATAAAGCATTAACAGGATTTATGATTAGAGTCAGGTATAAGGGCTGGAGAGAGGTCAGGTACGCCTCAGAGTTTCAATAAAAGCTTCAAGAAAATGGTAAGCCATGAGTCATACTTTGAATGCTGAGTGAGCAGTTGTAGAATAGTGAAGACTTTGCAGGCAAAGGATTTAGGAAACTTTTAGAATGTAGGATACAAGGTGATGCACAGAAAGCTGAGACTGGAGATGGAGTTGGGGCCTTCTCGTGAGTGGTGGTGTGAGCTCTTAGCCATGCCTAAGAGCTGGGACACTGTCTTACAGAATGTGGGTGTCCACAGGGAACTGCAGGTGCCCTTGACTTGGAAAACTCTCTGTGGTAGCTCCATTAGGAACTCTGATGCCTTTTTAATGAGATGTCTACAAGGTTCTTGCACAACCAGAATTTTCTGCCTTGGTTCCCTGAACGATTTGTTTCTAACTAATTTCTCAAACATTTAAGTATGCTTAGAAAGTTAAATAACTCTTATGCAGTCACTGTAAATATACAGGTACAGTTTTGATGGACATGATTGGTTTGGTGGAAAGAACACGGACTCTGGAGTCATATGTGATTTTCCTAATTTCAGCATAGCCTGCATTTCTAGCAGTCTTTTGACCTGGGGCAGGTTATGTAACTTGAGAATCTACTCCTCTTTTGTTGAGTCATAACAGTCAGAGAAAGACTGTCGGATTTTGGCTCATGGTGGATGCTTAATCAGTGCTTATTTTCTATTCCTTGACTTAGTTAAATTGATGTGACTTATTTAACAATACTATTACTCCACTCTTGGTGAGCACCTACTTGAGATTCATTACCTAAGTTTTCTTTTGCTTGATTTACCTCAGTGTACCGGGAGCGCCGAACAGAGGGCGGGGTTGCTGACACGCTCTTTTTCATGCAGATGGCTGGGAGAGTGCCAGTCTCAGTGACGAGGCAGATTCTGATGGCGAATGGGTTGACGTGCCCCATTCTTCTGACGAAGAACAGAAAGAGATCGTAAGTCCTAAAAGTTCTGTCCCGACTATTGAGGGGCTACCCTCTCAGCAGAGCTAATGGCCGTTTAAGCCCGTGTTGTGTTCTCTCAAGTCTGAGAAACTGAACAGCATGCCGCTGGAGGAGCGGAAGGCCAAGGCGGCGGCCGTCAGCACTAGCCGAGTGTTAAGTCAGGAAGACTTCCAGAAAATTCGAATGGCCCAAATGAGGAAAGAGCTCGACGCTGCCCCTGGGAAAGCCCAGAAGAGGAAATACATCGAAATAGACAGCGATGAGGAGCGCAGGTAAGACGGCGCATGCACCAGGTCCTCAGTCGGCTCACGTGATTATGAAAGTTATAGGAAAAGGAATTCTATCCTTGTCTGATACTATGGTTTTTCTCTTCACCCCAGGGGTGAGTTACTTTCTCTTCGGGACATTGAACGCCTTCATAAAAAGCCGAAGTCTGACAAGGAGACAAGACTAGCAACTGCAATGGTGAGTGAGGCATGTCATTGCCTGGGTCTTTAAACAGACAGATACAGTGAAGTGAAATACGACTCAAAACTTGTATAGGCACAGAAAAGCTGTAATTAGAATAGAAGCCATAGATGGGAAGTTAGGTGAGTTTTAGCAACTTGATAGCCACATAACCACCATCCAAGACATGATGTGGAGCACAGAAAGGCACCAGGACATTTTCACAACTTAAAGGAGGCCCAGTCCATTTATCAAAGCTATGAGAAAAGCAGTGAAATGTTTATAGTCATTAAAGAAAAGCCAGAGACAGTTGGAGCCTGCCTACCTTTCCAGCTTGATTTTCTCTGCCTTTATTGTTTCAGACACCATTCAAAACGCTCTCCACATCACCCTCTGTTCCATTGGTACTGACACCTCTTTAGATAAGTTTGAAAACCCTTGTTTCTTCCCCACAGCTGTGCATAAACTATTCCTACTTCCTGAAATGCTCTACCCTTCCCACCTTTCCTCACCAGAAAGGCCTTCACCCTGCAATGAACAGCTCACGAGCTCTTCCTTTCTCAGAGACTCCTCTGATCTCTTGGAAGCCATTTGTTCCACTGTGCTCCCCAGCCCCATTACAGTACATCACAGTCATGTCTCCCCCGGACTGAACTGTCACCAGGGAGCAGGGACTGGGTTCCACCCACCTTCATGTCCTTGGCTTCCAGTGGAACTGCCCCAGAGAAGATGTGTATGTTGACGGTAGCTCCTGCTGTGGTATTTTTTGTGCGTGTGTGCTAATAGGCTGGAAAAACAGACCGAAAAGAATTTGTGAGGAAGAAAACCAAAATGAATCCATTTTCCAGTTCCACCAATAAAGAGAAGAAAAAGCAGAAGAACTTCATGATGATGCGGTATAGTCATAATGTCCGGTCAAAAAATAAGCGTTCCTTCCGAGAAAAGCAGGTGAGTTCAGCCGGAAGCTTGACGAGGCAGAGTGGTGGTGGTGGTCTGCGACTTCTCTACGTGTGAGTGGAACTGTGCCCTCTAAGACCTTGTGTAATGTGTGTCTCAGGATTAACGGGCTGCATTCTTAGAGAGCATGGAGAGGTGGAGAGCAGTCAGGGCGTATAAATCCTATACCTAACTTGGTTGAGATTCAGCTGTGTGATCTTTGGGTCTTTTTTCTTCTCTCTAAGTAAAGGAGTTTAGGCTAAATGATTGCTAAGGTCCATTCCTATGCTGAGTCTCTTGGTGTTGCATCTATGAAATATAATATCAAACTGAACTGAAGGATAATTTTTGAGTATTTGTTATATGCCTGGTGCTTTTCTCCAAAAAGCATTATTATGTGTGGTAATATCTCAGAAAGGGCTTCCCAGATGGCTCAGTGGTAAAGAACCTGCCTGCCAATGCAGGAGACACGTGTTCGATCTCTGGGTCAGGAAGATCCCCGGCAGAAGGAAATGACAACGCACTCCAGTGTTGTAGCCTGGGAAATTCCATGAATTTCCAGAGAATCTGCCAGAGAAGCCTGGCAGACTACAGTCCACAGGGTCGCAAAGCGTGGAACAAGACTGAGCGACTAAGCAATGACAGTATCTTAGAAACAGCATCAGGAGAGCAGTGCAGACTAAACAGTCTGTCCCTGGCATGGTCGTTCCTCTGTGTGCCCTTAGAGGCTTTGGCCTTTTATTTTACCCATTTTCTGTCTTGGGCGAGTAGCCTTGTTATTGTAGTAAAACAGATTTTTGTTTTTATATCCTTGTCTCCTGCGAATGTACCAGAGTATATATCTAAATGTACCCAGAAGAATCTCTAGGAAATCAGGTTAAGTAAATGTTAGTGCCACATCCTGAACGAGCGTTCCTAAATTGCAAGCCAGTTATGAACCTCCCAGTTCCGAATGTGAGAGCCAGCTCTCCAGGGCAGGGCTCCGTCTGTGTGGGAACCGAGTCAGAATGAACTAAATTAAGGTACCCCTTAACGCCTGCCTACCTATTTAAACTTTCTAGTTCTCAACTGTTTAGCTGCTGCTGCTGCTAAGTCGCATCAGTCATGTCTGACTCTGTGTGACCCCGTAGATGGCAGGCCACCAGGCTTCCCCGTCCCAAGGATTCTCCAGGCAAGAACACTGGAGTGGGTTGCCATTTCCTTCTCCAATGCGTGAAAGTAAAAAGTGAAAGTGAAGTTGCTCAGTCATGTCCAACTCTTTGCAACCCCATGAACTGTAGCCTACCAGGCACCTCCGTCCATGGGATTTTCCAGGCAAGAACACTGGAGTGGGTTGCCATCGCCTTCTCTAATGTGTGAAAGTGAAGTCTCTCAGTCATGTCCAACTCTTTGCAACCCCATGAACTGTAGCCCACCAGGCTCCCCCGTCCCTGGGATTCTCCAGGCAAGAACACCGGAGTGGGTTGCCATTTCCTTCTCTAATGCGTGAAAGTGAAGTCGCTCAGTCATGTCCAACTCTTTGCAACCCTATGGACTATAGCCTACCAGGCACCTCCGTCCATGGGATTCTCTAGGCAAGAGTACTGGAGTGGGTTGCCTTGCCTTCTCTGCAACTGTTTAGCAGCATTGTATAAGTAATAAAACGACAATATTCTGAATAGAAGTTGTTGAAAGCTGAAGTGAAAGATGCCATTAAAGATTTTAAATAGTCTCGGACTTCCCTGGTGGTCCAGTGGGTAAGAATCCACCTGCCAGTGCCGGGGTCGGGGGTTCAGTCCCCGGTCCAGGAAGATCACACTTGCTGAGGAGCGGCTAAGCCCATGTGCCACAACTGCGGAGCCCACATCCTATATGATGTGCTCCACAAGAGAAGCCGCTGCGATGGGAAGCCCGTGCGCCCCAGCTAGGGAGTGGTCCCTGCTCAGGGCAGCTAGAGAAGGCCAGCGACGAAGACCCAGTGCAGCCAGAAATTAATTAATTTTAAAAGATTTTAAATTGAATTTTCCCAGTTCCATTTAAATTCATGGTTGAATTGATTAAATCCATTAATTGATCCTTCCCTGCCTCTTGTACAATTTTACAGTTGAGGAAATAGTTGGCAGGCCTTGCCTTATTTTGAGATGTTTGTAATCTTGCTACACTTAGCTAGGAGCGTTCCCTTCCCCACTTCCTCTATTTTTAGCAGCTTTTTTTGGCATGATAGAGAAGCCTTGCATTGTTCCCATCAGCACCTCTGGAAGTATCAAATATTTGTCTTAAAGAATTTTTTAAGAGAAAGTCAAGAGTTCATTGGACATGCGCACACGTTTGTTCAAGAATGCTTTTTCCTCCTCCGGTTTTCTTGCCATGACCAGAACTTCTTTGTTTGTTTCCTTGTCCTATATTTTCTTTAAGGTCTCTTCATTATGAAGCTTGACTCTGGGTTCCTAATTTTCTCTATTCTGTCCTTTCCTCTAGGCCAGCAGAGTAATCAAAATGAAAACTATTACATGAGATATTTTACACTCTTGTTTTTGAGCAATTGAAACCCAGTGTGTTTTACACTTGTGCTCTGTGCTGTGTTCAGTCGCTCAGTCATGTCTGCCTCTTTGTGACCTCATGGACTGTAGCCCGCCAGGCTCCTCTGTCTATGGGATTCTCCCATTCTTCCAGAGTGGGTTGCCATGCCCTCCCCCAGGGGATCTTCCCAAACCAGGGATCGAACCCAGGTCTCCCGCATTGCAGGTGGATTCTTTACCATCTGAGCCACCAGGGAAGCACATGAATACTGGAGTGGGTAGCCTGTCCCTTCTTCAGGGGATCTTCCCGACCCAGGAATTGAACCAGGGTCTCCTGCTTTGAAGGCGGATTCTTTACCAGCTGAGCTACTGGGGAATATTTGGACTAGCCATGTTTCATTGCCCAATAGCCATGTGTAGCTAGTGGCCACTGTATTGGATGGTGCAGTTATAGAGCATCTCCAAAAAGAGGCGAGACCAGAGAAGGAAGGTAAAGCACAGAGAAGACGAGAGGAGAGGACTTTGCAGTGTGTTCAGATGGCGGGCTGTGAACGGGGAAGGGACCTGATATGTGTGAGAGTAGCCTGTGCTTTGTTACAGAGTTTAGTGAGTGGAATTAAATCTGTGTAACCTGAGCTGTAACATTGTTAGCTGATTGTTGTTCAGTCGCCCAGTCGTGTCCAACTCTTTACGACTCCATGGACTGCAGTATGCCAGGCCTCTCTGTCCCTCACCGTCTCCTGAAGTTTGCCCAAGTTCATGTCCATTGCATTGGTGATATATTATTAGCTAATATATCGTTCTTAACCACATGTATGACTATTCCACAGCTTTCCAGTTTTGAACTTATTTAATCAATATATAACAATATGAACGGATACTATATTTAAACTGACTTTACAGATATGAAAATAATACATATATGGCTAACTCAGAAATACCTTCTTAGCCATGCAACTTGGTTGAAAGTTGGTTGAAAGAAACTTGTTAATTTTTTTCTACCATAAGTGTCCCAGTTATTCTGCCTGTCTACACAGACATACTAAGACCCAGGCCTGAGTTAAAGGCAAGAAGTCAATAACTTAAAATCATAAAATTCAAAAAGTGTGAATATGTAGATGTAGAGCCAGGCAACCTCCACCCCCACAAAATGCTTTAAAGTGTCTAGGACTCAAAAGGTGATGGGTGCTTGGGGAATTAATGGAATAATATTCATCACAAACTTAAAAGGTACACATTGGCCTTGATTATCTTCTTTTTTAATTTAGGTTTATTCTTCATAATCTTTTACTTAATATTCCATTTATTTTCTTTTGGGAACTGTAAAACTTTATGAGGGTATTTACAGGTTCACTTTGAACATTGGCCCAGTGGTCTTCTTCTCTAGATCGTGTTTACCTCATTTTTTCTTTATCTTCCAGCTGGCATTACGAGATGCACTCTTGAAAAAGAGAAAAAGAATGAAGTAACTTCCAAGCAAGTCTTCCATTCCAAGGAGAATGCTAAATTTGTATCATCACTCTGAAAACTTGCAAATTAAGAATATTTGTTTATATTTAAAAGTCCAGAAGCACTATGTTGTGAAAACCACAGTAAACTTGGTAGCTTTTGGTGTTCTTATTTTAGAGATGAGTAATGGTGGGAATGTTTGAAATGTAAATAGCCGTGGTATAAACTTATTTTCATTTAATATACATGCAAGAAAATAATTATATACATATGTATAGAGAAAGAGTTAGAGTGCCTATTAATTGTCACTGAAGATATAAAAATGAATAAGCCATAACTTCTCATTCAAGATATTTATAACCTGTTTGTAGGATGGGGCGAGGGGCAAGTGTGTTTATATGTATTTACACTGCTGTATAAATAATTCTATAGTAGAGACAGTTTTATACTTCTGTGGAGTCACAGAGGCCTTATGGACTAACTCTGCAGAGGATGGGTATTATATATTTTCTTAAAACAGGACAATGTTACAAGAGTAAGAGGATCTTACTTGTAAATAGGCTTACCTGCTGAAAACAGGTTCCTGCTGTACAGATTTTGAGTAGACAGTTTAGCCTTTTTAGTCCATCCATCCAAAAGATGTAATTTTTTTTTTTTTATGCCATGTATAGGCTTTTTGGCTAAGATCTCATTTTTTAAATTGCCTTAAGTAGTAATCTCGGAGTGGCTTCTGTTCATTATTTGGGCTGCCCGCTCTTCCACAGAGGAGAAAGAAGTCAGATTAGTTTCCTCAGTCTTCCTTGACCCTGTAATATGTCCAGCCCTCTGTTGGCCTTGTCTCAGTAAAAGGCTTCTGATGTCAGACAGGTACTCTGTGTGCCGAGTGGTGTGTGTTATCTCCCGCCCCTATGCATACTTGAGTGGATTCCAAGGGCCACAAGAGCCATGGTCAGCTGTTTGCAAGTTTCTGCATTTGGAAATAGTTTGGTGCCCTTTGTCTCAAATTTCCTAGATAATATTGTGATAGTTGGAAAAATTGCTTCAAACTAGAGTAAAAGGCAATTTTCTGCCCACTCAGCAGCTTGTAAAACCACTTCTCTTATTCCTTTTCTAGCATCATCTGTTTACTTTCTGAGTTCAACTTCTGTTTTACTTCAATGAAACTTTGTGACTTTTTCTAAGACACCCCATACCACTGGGGATTAGTTATGAAGACCTCAATGATTAATGATTACTTTGCAGTGACCTGGGGAAAGGAACCCTCCATCAACCCCCAGCAGCTTTAGTGTTTCACAGGAAGTGCATATTTGAGTGTTTCAGGCCTGAAGCTGCTCTTTGCTCTTTGCATTTTTCAGCTGTCTCCCTGTGTATGTGTCTAGCTCCAGAAAGAAGTAAATAAAACTCAAAACGGCCTTGGGTCTGTAGCTTTGCTCTTTGAATTGTGATGATGCTGGGTACTTTCATCCTTCCCCTAGACTTTTCCACCCCTCTGAGCTGCCGAGAGGCCAGAGTCCATTCTGTAGTCTCCCCTCTGTTCTGCTACTCTTAACTGAAGTTTGTATGGCAGCTAAATTTCTGGCTTTAAAAGTTATAGCTTTAACTTTTATTTCTTTAATCCCATAGTATCAGTTCAGTTCCGTCGTGTCCAACTCTTTGCAACCCCACGGACTGCAGCACGCCAGGCTTCCCTGTCCATCCCCAACTCCTGGAGCTTGCTCAAATTCCTGTTCATCAAGTCGGTGATGCCATCCAACCATCTCTTCCTGTCATCCCCTTCTGCCTTCAATCTTTCCCAGAGTCAGGGTCGTTTCCAGTTAGTCAGTTTTTTGCATCAGGTGGCCAAAGTTGGAGCTTCCTCATCAGTCCTTCCAATGAATATTCAGGACTGATTCCTTTAGAATTGGTTTGATCTCCTTGCTGTCCAATGGACTCTTACAGCATATAATTCCTTTTACTATTTTATAAGTCTTCTATTGAGAATATTTTCTGCTTACTGTAAGTTTGGAACTCAGATCCTCACAAGATTGGATGCTGTCAACAAGGGTAGAGTGACCTTCAAGGTGACTTCTTGAAGAAGTCACCAGGGCTTGAACTTTAGCTCTTGAGTCTCAAATTTTTGTCAACAGTGAGAATGGGGCCATTTCAGAGATGAACACTCAACCGTCCAAACTCATAACATATAAAGTATAAATCTAGAACACTGATACATATATGTGATCTTAGCAAGTTCTGGTAGAAAATAGGCTCCACAGAAGGCAGCGAGTGTTCTGTGCTAGTTCAGTGCCCAATAAGTATAAGTGCTCAACAAATACTCGAGTACCTCATAAAAGCCCCTATCTGTCAGTCTTCTCTCCATAAATAAAATACCACCTACCTCATCGATTGTTTTGAGAGTTTTGAGAACTAAGCACTTAGCATGGTATTTGCCACCAGGAAAGCATGCAGTAAATTTCTCATCAAAGATTAGATACCTGTTAAGTTTTTTTGTTTTAGTTTTGGGTTTTTTGCTTAATTTATTTGAAACAATGGTTGAAGTTGCTATAAATATTTGCTTTACTCCTTATCCATTTAGGGGGAACTAGTTTGAAACAAAAATGTATCTTGGGGGAGTTACCTGGCAGTCTAGTGGTTGAGACTTTGTGGTCTCACTGCCAGTGGCCCGGGTTCAGTCCCTGTTCGGGGAACTAAGATCCTACAAGCCACATGGTGTGGCCAAAACAATTTTTTTGAATGTATATTGAATGCTCAAGCACGTGCTAGAAGCTGTTGGGTTACAAACACAGTGTTCCTTCCATGTAGAAACTTTAATCCTTTGAAGGAAATAGACTTACAAAGTGACTATATAAAAAAGGCACATCACAGGGCTAGGGACAGCCTAGGGAGGAACAGTTAAACTAGCAGAAAGGTAGAATGCCTGATCGCTAATACAATGATACTTAGGAACAGAACAGCAGTAGGAGGTGAACTCCCAAATCATAAAAGTTTAGGGTTCAGAAGTTGGTATAATTTTTTGAAGATTTTGATTAATATATATTTTGTTGTCATGATCTCATATCCTAATTCTTTGAAAATGTGTAATCTCTGTCATGTTACACGGCAACTTAGTGTTGACCACAGTGTTCAATCAGTCGGAATGTTGTGTTCTTCACTCTCTTCCAACAACACAAGACTCTACACTTGGACATCATCAGATGGTCAATACCGAAATCAGATTGATTATATTCTTTGCAGCCAAAGATGGAGAAGCTCTATACAGTCAGGAAAAACAAGACCAGGAGCTGACTGTGGCTCAGATCATGAACTCCTTATTCAGACTTAAATTGAAAAAAAATAGGGAAAACCACTGAACCATTCAGGTATGACCTAAATCAAATCCCTAACGATTATACAGTGGAAGTGACAAATAGACTCAAGACATTAGATCTGATAGAGTGCCTGAAGAATTGTGGATGGAAGTTCATGACATTGTACAGGAGACAGGGGGCAAGACCATCCCCAAGAAAAAGAAATGCAAAAAGGCAAAATGGTTATCTGAGGAGTCCTTACAAGTAGCTGTGAAAAGATGAGAAGCAAAAGGCAAAGGAGAAAAGGAAAGATACACCCATTTGAATGCAGAGTTCCAAAGAATGGTAAGGAGAGATAAGAAAGCCTTCCTCAGTGATCGATGCAAAGAAATAGAGGAAAACAACAGAATGCGAAAGACTAGAGATCTCTTCAAGAAAATTAGAGATACCAAGGGAACATTTCATGCAAAGATGGGC